ATGCTCCTTGATAGGAGCGCATGGTAGACGGCAGCACGCTCGTCGTTGCTGAGCTTCCTCCGTGGGTTGAGTCGCGGGGAAGCAGCAGTCAGCGAAGCGGATGGCATGGCTCGACAGGTGTGTGCAATAGATGGAGGTTTGCTATTCACCACTAAGGATGAAATTGAGTTTTGAACGCTGAGCGGGTCATTATGTGTGCGTTGCGAGCAGTGACTGATTTCCCGCCTCCATAACTTGGGAACAAAATCGATCTGGAAAGCTCAAAACACAGCCAATCAAAGCTGAGATCTTGCGCTTTCTTGTAAGCCAATTAGATAGCCTCAACTCGAAGTATTAGAAAAATGCCGCCAATCAGAAGAAATATGTGACTCTTTTTGTGGACCAGAGTAGTAGATTTTACTTCAACCAGACCTTAATACAACTGCAAAACTCATTTTTTGTATATGTGCTTGTGCACGATTAAATCAGTACCAATCTCCAAGTTTCAGAGGTTGAAAATGTTGCATGAGATTTGGAAGTTCTTCCGCCTTCCTAACGTTACGATGCGTCTTAAATTGATTGGTTGCGTTACGTAGATGGCCAGTTTATAGTGCATAGGACAGTTTAAGGTGCACTCAAATTGGCCAATGGAATTGCTTGATTTTTTGAATAACCAATCGAATTACTAGAAAAATGAAATCACAAAATAATTGGTAAGCAAATCCAGCACACATATGTGATGCTTAAGCCGTGACCATAAACCATCGTGTCCTATTTTGCCTTGATTTGAGTGGAAATCGACGTAAATATACGCTAAACCGACGTCTTCTATGCAAGCCAATATGACATAATTACAAGAATGCCCAACCTTTCGGCTTCATACAGCACGTTTCAGCATTGAAATCCCGGTGTCGTGAGAGACGCTGCATTCTACGACGTGGTCACTTTTCAAGTGCACCAAATAAATTGACCATCTACGTTAGAGAGTTTTCGGAGCGCCACTTTTCAGTTGAGATAGCAAAATATGCTACCAAAATTAATTATCTTGTATAAATGGATGTTGATAAAGCAGTGGATCTGAACAACTCTTTAGATAGAAGGCACCTTATCCAAAAGTGGATGGACGTCCACCAGAAACGTAATCCGGATAATCTAGAAGTTAACTCAAAACCTTTCCGAAAGTACTGATATTTTCGTCAAAGTTGAGATTTACATCTGCCCGAAAGTTTGAAATTGCTTGGTTTTCAGTTCACTTCCACAAGTTGAATCTTATTGTTAACTGAAAATCTCTTACGAAAACTCTCTGTTCTGGTGAATTCGCTATAAACTTCCAAAATTAGTGTGGTTTGTCTATATGGAGTTCTGATTGGTTGAATATACTCCCTTTTCTGTAACAGCCAATCAAATCCACTCAAAATTGGATTATTAGCCAGTAGCGTCGATATACTCGGCGGCTCGACGGGGGCTGGAAATCCGTTCCGAATCCACAACACCATAGTAGTACATATTCATATTAATATTTGAGTTTTGTCACAATGTACTGTACATAGTAGTAGTACATCCACAAGATCTCTACTTGGCTAAACGAGGCTGAGTTGACCAATCGGATGCCAGTTGCTTCTTTGGAGGTGGCGCCATGAGAGCGGCGACCAGCGCTCGGTTCCGCTCGACGGCTTGCGCGGACAGCAGCTGTCCGTACGCCTGACTGTCCTGCCGGTACCTGACTTCCTGCATGTCCTGGGGCAGATTCTGGAGGTTGCCGCCCCATTCCTGGGCTTCTTCGTGCAGACTCACATAGCCATCTCTGGGGCTCTGGGTCTGGCCCATCATATAGAGCATCCGCACCACGGAGCGCTGGCCTCCTGGAAGGGTTATGCGCTCAAACCTATATATATATATATTATCTGAATATCCAAGATATATATATATATATTATGATACCAGAGCATGCGATTCCGCTGGGGCAAGTCGTGGGGCCACAGGTCGTCGTGCTGGATCTGCTGGGCGACCACTAGACCCCGATCGGCGCCGTCTGTAAAGCGGCCGCAGAGGAGATTCACGCCTTCATTTCGGCAAGTGATTAGGCGATGCAGCGTAGTCGATGCTTCGCGTTCCACGACGGTCTAGGAATATATATATATATATTTCAATCGATATGATTCAGAAAAATATATATTACAGGCACAGACACCCCCGAGAGGCCGTTGACCATGAGCGCGTCGCAGAGGAACTCGTGGAACACCCGCAGATGCATCTCTAGCGGAAACCCAACTGGGACGTCGTACTGCGCCCGGCGGACAAATGTAAAGTGGTGCTCGGAGAACACCACGTCCGTGTCTTGGAAGGGCGCGGCCTCGAGCGACGGGAACCCGTGCTGGCGGAACATGTTGGTCGCGTTGTGCTGCATGTGCTTCGTGATCCACTCCTTGCCGGTCACGCGGGACGTATGGTTCCCGAGGAGGGAGATGTTGCGCCACCCTGCTGGCCTTGACGATGGCGACGTCTAGAACATGCATCCCATGAGTCGTTGGTGTGAGAAATGAGAACGGTCACCGGAATGCTCGTGTGCGCAGTGACCCACTTGGACATGTCACGGATGAGCGTCTGCACCTCGGTCACTTGATCGGCGAGCGCTTGTTTCTGGGACTTTGCGAGTTTCTTGTCTGTGTCCAGCGCCGCCGCCACCTCCTTCCACGGCAGCATCGCGAGAGGGTTGTGATGGTTCAACAGGTGCTTCAACTCCAGTTCCAACTGTTCGGCTTGGGACTGCAGGAACACCACCTCCATCTTCTCCTTCTGTCGGTACTGCTGCATCATCTTGCGAATGTACCCACGACGCTTGAGGCGCTTCTGCGCTTGCTTGGCAACATCCACGTCTTGCATGTTGCTGCGGCTATTGAATCTGATCGCAAAAACTCACAGTCAAGTGCGTTTAACGTAATGTGACGTTTAAACGTGTTTTTACCTTCTACTACAGTAGTACTAGGACGAGCACTAGTATTACTACATGATACAAGGTCGAATGCATGAGAAATCGTCATGGATTCCAAGAGACTGGGAAGAAGAGTGGTCAGTCTGACCCACCAGGCTATGGTGGCGCTGGCGGGATGAGGGTGGTGCCACCCATGTGTTCGTGTACATCAACCGAAAAGCACAGTAGGCTGTTGACATTGTCACCCAAGGTCGCACTTCACTGCGGCGTCCCTTTCATGAGGCACGAGATCACGAAGTCTCATGTGCTGGTGTGTCCCATCGCACGCAATCGCTGTCCATACGCCATAATTCCCCATTGATGTCGTGTTTCTCGCTCGTTATCCGTCATGTCGGCCATCAGCACGTCGCCATTCCGTGGACGGCTCCTCCTTGAGTGCAATGTATCCCTTGCGGGGTTGCTGGGCTTGTCTAACAGATACAGCATGCGGATGACCACGCCGCCGTCGTCGAGCTCGCTTCGATCCATCCTGTCCATGTCTTAGTATTCTTAGGCGATTCAAGTGCTAACCACAGCATGCGATTCCAGTGGGGGTGGCCTAATCCGATTCTTTCGTCGTCCTCGACTTGCAATAACGATGTCTTGGGAACTTCCACCTTTAAAGTAACCGACGAGCAAGTTTACTTGTTCGTGTCGGAAGTTGACCATTGGTGGAGGACTGTGTGCTTGGTGGCTTCTTGCACTCGTCGTCGCATGTGACTATCGTGCCGCTGAAGTACCCGCCATCGACCACGTGGGAAAGCCATGCTGGTGGGACATGCGGTCGGTGTCGAGCTGCATTTGCTGGGCGGTCTATTCCTTGCCCAGTTGCCGCTGACATGGGACCGACACATGTTGCCATGGACTTGGACGTGCACGGGGGTGTGCACCTACAAGTTCAATCCGGTGGGTTACATCGAGTAGCACCGTTACCGGTGTTGTCGACCACTTGGGTTGATAGATTGCTTATCTTTTCTGGAGGATGAAAAAAATATTTTCCCTGTGTCTCTCAAAACTACAAAAATTTATTTATTACGCACTTGAGATAGAATAACTTATTCGAATAACTAAAATATCTCAATGGAGGACGAAAAAAATAACATATTTTCCCTGTGGCTCAAAACTACATAGATTTATTTATTACGCACTTGAGATAGAATAACTTATTCGAATAACTAAAATATCTCAATGGTATCGCAATTAACCTAAGTGCCGTTTGCAAAGATACCAATATATTCAAACTTTCAGTTGCTTTACCGTTAGCCACACCAAAAAGCGATCGCATTTAAAAATGACCATCACTCATGACGCTCGCTGATTGGCTCAAAATTTGGTCACCACAAATTTTGAGGTCGAAGTAAATGGAGACTGGATGCAATGCGAGAGGGAATATAGCTTCGTCAAACAAGTTTCGTTGTTTGTCAGTATCCGAATACCAGGTACTAGTACATTTGGAGTTTGAACTAAAGTTATTGAGAATTATTCTGTCATTTAGAATACATTATTTATTATTTATTTTGTTAAGTTATCTATTTTTTCGGATGTTGGAAAATATGACTTATCTATTTTGGGGGTGGCGCAAAATAATGTATGTTCCGTTCGAATAAAAAATATTCGCTTTGTTCAAAACTATTTTTTAACGTTATTCGAACGGAATATAGAATTTTTTGCGCCTCCAAATAAAATGTATTTTAAATAGATTCATACCTCTGGTGACCAATCAATTTCCAGCATCATGTTGATGTTTGTATACCGTCGTTGTACTGTATTATCCGGATCGCGTTATCCGGATCATACAGTACAACGACGATATACAAACATCAAGTGTACTACAACACGAAAGAACCTGTTGCGAACAATCATTTTGCGTTGTTCTTGTCAGGTTCGTCCATTTTTGTATTTATGGTGGAGATATCTCTACCAGAAACATAACTTCATAAGACTACATAAGACTACTTTATCTGAACATATCCTCGAACGTGGGCCACAAATGCATACATTTGGGCTTTGAAGTGCGCTCGATGCTTTCGGGCGTGGCCAACCGACGCTGCTGTTTGCGGCTGCGCTGGGGGTAAGCTGTGCATGAGCTGACCGAGGGCATGCATCATGGTGTCCTGCAGCGGCGAGTCCATGCCGGCGCAAAACGCGTGCGCGATGGACTCGATGTTAGGGCGCTCCACCAGGAAGAGCGAGTACAAGGCGAGGGCGGCGCCGTCCACCACCACGGCCGCGGCCGCCTCGAACACGAGCATCTGCAGCACCACCGGAATGAACTGGCCCAGCAGACCCGTGGATGCGGCGGTCGGCTGCCGCAGCTGGCACGCCGCCAGTTCCCCGACCGATTGGAAACTGTACCGTACAATGTCAGTGTTGGTGTGGCGCATGCCCACGACCAACGACTGCAGCAGCTGATGCAGCAACGACGGGTTCAACCGTACGACTTTATCCGGATACACGTCCACCTAACCCCAACATATATATTATATCATAAAACTAACTTCATATATATATATATAGTTACCAGATACGACACGAGCGTGAAATACTGCACGCTCAGCTTGGGGTATTGGAGCAAGTCGTGGGTCATGAGTGGAATCACTTGGTTCAGACCTGAAAACACCACGTCGGCGACCACCCCCGCCTAAAGAAATATATATATATATATATATATATATATATTATTCCAGCATAATAATATACTTTTGACATCAAAACAATACTATTGTTTAGCTAAATTCATACCGAATTTGCCGTGTCGTCTGCGAAATCAATCACGTCCTTAGCCACAAGGTGCGACAGCAGCGTGAGCAGCATAAACATGTCTTCGAACTGGAGCTCGTCGTCACTAATTGCCGACCGCTGGGTCACGGAATTAGTGACACAGAACGTGCCAATGAGGCGGTCGCAGTGACCATACAGGTCCATCGCTTTATCGAGGCTGAGGTAGGCCAAGTTGGCTTCGACAAAATCGCACGCGCACTTCAACACGAGCGGCACGATGGACGGTACTGACTGGAACGTCTCGAGGGTCCTTAAAAGGAGGGGAAACCACGGCAGGACGAGGGGTTCCACGGCCGCAAACGACCGACTAGTGGTATCTTTGGTCACTATTCAAAGGTTGGGCACTATCATACCTTTCCGACGACCGAGCGAGGCCGGCATACAATTCCAAGATACTTTCCACTTGGATATGACTGTGAGTTGTTGTTGATGATTGCGTCATCATGTCTAAGCAGCGGTGCCATTCCGACACGAACGGCGCCAACTGGTCGGGGGCGTCGGGTACGATGATGCGCACGAGGGCTTCACACATCAGACCCCGGCGTTGGCTAGGTATGTACAGCAACGCTACACTCGCCAATAAAATACTATTAAATATATATATATATTCAAAAAAGATTCGAAACTGGAGCAGCCCTCCGCAGAAAACTCGAATGTCTTTAGCGAATGGATTCAAGAACCGCCTGGGCCAATCAAATCACGTCCTCCTGTCGAATTTCTGCCAATCCAAACGTTTGACCCCTCCGCAAGAATTGGGCAAAACCACATATATACTACTCACGCATCGTTGTAAAGTATACTGGGTACAAGATGAACAAATAGGATCAAATCGATTCGAAAGCTATTCATGATTCTCAAATATGGGTGAAATGCACAATATATATATATATATATATATACCGCCTTGCACGGCCAATATCGAGTGAGTCAGCCACTGAAACTGGGCCGACTGCATACACAATCCGACGGCGGCGGGTGTTTTTGGCAGCGCTAGCAGCAGCTCCACGACGTTCTGAATGACATGGGGCTGCATATACCAGTGGGTCAAGTACACGGTGGCGCTCTGGCAGTAGAGGGCGACCATATCTGCCGATTTAGACGGAAATATGTCGAAGTACGTGACGTGTAGCCTTGTGGCTGTGCTCAGGAGCTGCTCCGACAGGTACGGGCTTTCTCGTTGCGGAGCCACTTGCACAGCTTGAATTTCCTCGGCCAGCAACGTCAGTACCCCGTGCACCAGTTGCTCCACAACTGACAGAGTCGCCTCCATCGACCAAGGCACGGCAGGCTTTTCGCCCTTGTACTCGTCTGCTATCACGATACCCGTGAATAATATGACGAAGTGGAGCTTGTCCAGCACATGTCGAAAGCTCTCGTCGTCGAGAGACTTGGTCGTGTGGGTCCGCCGTTCGTTTGCTGTCTCGACCTAGATATGTATATATATAAGCACGTGATGGATATATATGTTGATTGAATCATAGTATTAGTAGGCAAATTTATATATATATATTTACACATTATACAATCAGTAAAATAGGTCAATAAACATGTATATACACCTCATGCAGGATTCCACTAAATTCAGTATATAAGTCAAATGTAATAAGGTCATGTCGTACGATCATAGGTCTGAAAACATCCATGTCGTGGGCAAATACATATATATATATATATAGATGGCGGTATATATATATATATATATACCAAGAGCGACAGGCACAGCGAGAGGTTCTGGGGTGCGTTCAATCTAGCCAACGACGCAACGAGTCCGAGCTGTTCCTCGAGGGTTTTGGCCACATTTAGCTCAATATCTTCATCTTCTTCTGCGTCATTGTCGTCACTTCGGCACACCAGTCGGAGCCGCACCTGGAGGTAGAGCCGGACGACTTGGGCGCTGGCGGCTTGGATGGTGGGGGGAGGGGGGAGGGCCGCCGTGGCGAAGGGCGCGGTGAGGAGGCTCCAAGCGTCCATGAGTACGTCGAGGCCCTCCATCTGCCACACTTCCCCTCCATCTTCATCTGCTTCTTGGAGGGCCGACTGCAGGAGGAGGCAGCTGAGGCGGGCCACTTCCGACACGAGCGGGTCGGCTAGCGCGGGGTCGTTGAGGCTAGACCAGTTGGACACGAGGCGATATGTGAGCTGGCACATGTCGATGACTTCGCGCTCGACGTTGGATGGCAGCGGGTGATGAAAGATGAACAGCGCGCCGTGGAAGATCCACGTGATGTATGCGACGTGGTGGTCGGGGGAGTCAAAGATGGAGCCTGCGACGACGTTAGACTAGACATGTAGAGAACGCCTACCTGTGACAGAGGCGAGTAGGATGAGCACTTGGCGGATGGTGTGGCTCCACAGGCCGTGGCTGCGGTGGGTCGTATACGCTTGGAAAATGGCCTGAACGAAGCTGGCTTGAACGAGGTAAGGCTTCCACCGCGGATCGACTGCAAGCAGAATGGACGTCGAGTCAGAGGGGGCTTCGAACCACTGGAGCAGCTCCACCGTCAACAGATACACGTGCTCGAGGGCTTGGGGAGACGGCTGGTGTGTGATGAGGTGCACGGCGAGCGCGAGGATCTGGACGAGGCCATCTTTCTCGAGGGCCTGGCGGCATGACGTGTGGAACGCCACGGGTTGAAACATGGCGCGGGTCTTCTTATCCGACGCGCCGCGCATTTCCGTGACGAATGCGAGAAGGAGCTTGATGCCGACGAGGTTACTGGGAGTGTTGGACGACGATGATGCTAGCTGCGTAATGTGGGAGAGAATGGCTGTCCGGTCCGTGGGAGATTCCTGCAGCCAGTTTCGCTTGATGAGGATGGCGATCGTAGATATGAGTGCAGAAGCGACGAAGGACGGCATGGAGGATGAAGAAGTGGCGTGATGGAGCAGGAAACCGATGGTTTCCTTGCGCTGGGACACGGACACGCGTTCGAGAAGGGACAGCTCGCAGAGCGTGGTCACGGCATGGAACTGGGCCATGGGGACGGCGCTGTGCGTGAGGAGATGGATGGAGTCTGCATGTGCTTGTGGGCTCTGCTTGAAGTGATGAAGAACACTCTCCGCAGCCTGGCGCTCGGCGGTCGTTCGACCGGCAGCGAAGGCCAGGCACGCTTCCTCCACGGCTTCCATGCCGGCAGCGATGTCAAACGGGAATTGGTGGAGGTTGCAATGGAAAGCTCACACTATTTAAAGTCACTACTACGTAGTACTACTCCGTGGTGAAACGGTGAGATATTGCAATCTCAGGGTTTAAACAAGTATGGTGCAAGTCATCTAAAGACTACACAGATCATCGGCCATCCTCAGGAGGAGACGTTTTACTATTAAACGCCTCGGTTCTTTCAGTTAAACCCACGAAATGTTGACGTTAAATCATTATTAGTTAGGTTTTTTACCTGGTAATTAGGTTAAACATTGTGAATAATCCGGATACAATGAAAACGTTCGTACGGATAAGTTCTGTATACAAAGACCAATATATACTTGATACTCCTTTTCGGCCAAAATGTACCTGGTTCCATATATCTCCATACAAAAAGCGGTTGGTTTAAATTCTATTACTCGATCAATTTTTCACCAATCGAAAATCTGAACCGTAACTTCTGTTGGGCTTGTCCAGTTCTATGTATATCGTTATTACGGTATATTTTCCTAAATAATATCAATACAAAGTTGGAATAGCTGTCGAAAGTCAAGGCATTTATTTGTAGTCTTTAGGTGACTTGCACCATAGGTACAACTAACTACCTCCACGTTTCACCTCGAATTTTGCCCCAAAATCATTTTTATTACGAGGATTTATTTAAATTTGTCCAAAATCAGACTGATGAACGTGAACTGCCTCTTGTGAACAAGCAAGTGGTCGAGCCAATTGGCCCAAACTACTTACATGACCATTGTCGATATAGAGGGCGAGGACTGCCACAATGGTTATGGCAGGGATGTCTGCCTGACTCGAGTAGAACGGATGAGTACTCATATAATATAATTAGATTATAGAGTTTACGTTACCTCTGTATATACGCATATTGTTACCCATTTGACCATACATTAATCAAGTCGGGTCTGTGATTCTTGAGGAGCAATATTATTTTGATGATATCCAACAAACCTGTAATATAAATATGAGCAAGCGAAACACCGAATTCCCAGCTTCTCATTGGTACAAATCTTGTATAAATTGGGTAAATGAGTAAAAAACGTCGAGGTATTTGGGACGACGGATATCGGTTTATTGTTAGTCCTATTTTGGCTGAAATGTCATGAAAATGAAGGCATTCTTTCATATACTATGATTTAAAGTATGAAACTTTGCGAGCGACTTGTGTGAAGGTTCCTGTGTACTTTTCCCTCGCTGACACATGAATTGACAGGACTTGGCGCGCTTGTTCATATGAACCAATGAAAATTCAACGATTAATTGTGAGTTTGGATTATCATCCGAGCGGGTGACATACTAGAACCACATGTTGTTGTGGAACCGCTTCGCCAATTGTAACGCGACTGCATCTTCGGATATAACGGTTCATGCATCGTCTCCCTTGTTATCCGGATTCCCTGGGAGGGACGGATAACTCTTAATCCGGGGATCGAATTGAGTTAAGAAACCTCTATATCACTGAGCTATTTTCATTAATTCAACGAAGGGCAGACGACAATCAAGTTTGAAAATCACTTAAAAATACAATGGCGAGTCATTTCCCCCCTCCCCAAGAGTATTTTGGGAGTTTATTTGAATTTGGTGGGATATTTTACGCCTTTCGGTCGGGATGTCGCAGTAGTATAAGCTAAAACGACCACATGGCCACCCGACGGCCTCCCTTGACCGATGCGACCGCGTGCGAGAAGTCTGACCAGAAGACGCGGCGCCGCGCGTACTTTAAGACGATGCGGCAGATGTACCGGAACGAGGAGAAGCAGGAGCGAGAGTACCTGCTGAGAAAGATCCGCGAGTTGGAGATCGACATCGCTCCTCTCAAGAAGCATGCGACCGGAGGCAACCTGACCAAGTCCATCCTGCCTTGGAAAGACGTTGCGATGGGGATGGACGAAGGGGTGAAGATTGCGTCGTCGCAGTTGAAGGTGCTCAAGACCCAGGTCGACGCGTATGCGGAGCAGGTGTGGGCCATGAAGAAGTGGGTCGTTACCAACTCTGTGCTCAAGGTATATATATGTCCTTTCGTACGGTATCTCATGCATGGACAGAGTGCGCTCGACAGCCGCGTGCCGACGTGGCGGGACGTGACGCTTCTGGCGCATCCGACGTCCCGACGACTTGGGAAGGAGTGGATCACCCTGCAAATGTACCACAACACGGACCGCATATTCCAGCAGTACGGTTTCCCCGCCATCGATTCCCACGAGACCATCGACTGGGACACGGAGTCCGTCACCGTCGACGGCGGCGACTACACGGTGTACCGCCGCCAGGCCAAGATGACCGAGTCCCTGGAAGACGCGATCGCGTACATCGACTCGACGCTGTTGTCTGTGCAGTCGACATATGTGCAGCAGCATGCCACGTCTGCACAGGTACGTGACATCGTCTGAGACATCGTTCTCTCTGTGACATCGTTTTCCGACGCTAAACTGTTATTAGGCGGTGGTCGAGATCGAAGGCAACACCAAGCAGTTTGCGATTGTAACGCCAAGACAAGAGTATGTGAACCTCCTCTGCGGGGAGTTCTGCACCCCCAATCGGTGCGTGTTCGTGCTGCAGCAGATTCTCGATGACGAAGCATGCAGCCATCGCGCGTACCGCCAGCGGAATCGCATGTTCTGGTAATCCCCCACTTCGTTCGTTCGTCTTCATGGGCCAAGTTAAAGACGCTCGACATGTGCAGGCATGACGTGCAAGACCTGCCCAATGGCAACACGGTCGTGCGCAGTGTGGCCATCCACACGCTGTGCTACACGAAGGAAGGGTCCATTGCCATCGACGACGACGCGCAAGTGCTCCAAGTCAACATCAACGGATGTCCCTATATGAACGCTAGGAAGCCGCAATTTCCCAGTTGGTGAAGATATATATTTAGCAAGTAACGTGATGTGGTTCATACTATGATGGAGGTGTCAACGTGTATATTACACATGGTGTATGTACTGCACCAGTCACTCGAGGGACCGGTCGGTTACTTCTTTGCGGCGTTCTTGTCCAGAATCTTCTTGTTCCACGACGCGGCGTCGGTGAAATCGTCGTCGTGCTTGGGCGGCTGGGTGTACTCGTACGCAGCAAGCGCGATGCCGCCCGCAATAGCCCATGCGGCCAACCTAGCCATCCATCCATCAACCTCACCAAGATGTGTATCATGTACTTGAATCCTTGGGACTGTTGGGACCCCCACACCTGCTTCACCTTGTCCAGAATCGCCATGTTGCTGTCTGTCGCTGTGGTTGATGAAATGAAGAAGCGTTGGTCCCGGATAACCCTTATATCCGGATAACACATCTGGGCAAACCCCGAAACCCCGTGGGTCATGTGCTGCTTGAGCAACCAACGCGAACATGACGAAGCATTGTGCTTTACAGGAGAGAGGGATCAGTTCATTTGAAAGCAGTCAAGATCGCGTCTTTGGCTTCCGTGGCGTGCGAGCGCCTCCACGACGTCCGCGCGAACTTCCATATACATAGCCGTTCGTGGTCTTGTTCGTTGTGAAGGGTCAACACCAACCCATGCTGCATGGCGTGCAGCGATCACTCATCCACGAGTCGAGGTGAAGTTGGTTGCACTTTCTGCCTCTTCAGTGCGCATATGTAAATTACGTGGTTAACCGTGGTTAACCGTGGATGCCGTCGCACAATCCACTCGAAAGCAAAGTGATCACTTCTTGGGGCTGTTCTTGTCCATGTTCTTGTTCCACGAGTCGGATCCATGGAAGTCGTCGTGCTTGGGCTTGGGCTTCGTGTACAGGTACGCCCCAATGGCGAGTCCGCCCACAATCGCCCAGGCGACCATCCTATTCACCCATCAATCTCATCGTCAACGTGCCCAAGGAACGTACTTGTTCTGCTGCCACGTGCTCTTCATTTTGTCTGCAACCGCCATTTTCGACAATGCGAAGAAGGCAACGTTGAAGCAAAGCATCCGGATACCCAAGCCCAACGATGTAATCCGGATAAAAGGACCAACGTTTGCAGCGTATCCGGATGTCTCCAGCCAATCGCGTAGCGTTTCGGGTGTTTGTGGTGCCAGCAGTCAGCAGTCAGCACCTACGATGACCCGCCTAAGCCTGATCGTGTCCAACAAGTTCCGCTCGTCGTCGTTGACGACCAAGAAGGCATCAACGATCTTGTCGTCCTTGCCTCGATTCAACGTTCAGGTCAAGACCGCCAAGACCAGCTTGCCTCCTCGCAAGCTGAACGAGTAAGCCACGTCCTCGTTTCCCTTTCTCATGTGTATGTGGTGTAGATCTCTGGCCTTTGTCGTCCCTACTCCTGTCAAGCCCACTTTCACCACGGGCACCGCCATCGAAAATGCATTTGCTCGTTAGGTAGTAATTGCAACTACAATGGAACACGTTGGCATTTTGTGAATCGTCGGAACTCTCTCAACACAGGCTGGTCATGGGAGGCTACAGGACCTAGGGACACGTACACGTAGAACGACTAGCACGAGGGAATGTCCTCATGGGAGAGTTGACGGCGAAAGCGCATGCAGACTCCACCTGGTATATCAGGGAGCCTTCAACGCACCAACTCAAAGACGAAGGTTGGGCAGTGATCCGAGTGTGAGGTCGACATTTCGATGCGTGGGGTATGGGCGGTGTACTGTATCGCATGTGCTAGATTAAGAATGCTCTACTTTATCCCAAGTTGCCAACTACAGCAGGGTGTAGCATCGAAACCAAACTTGCACGTATAACGTTACATTGAAACCAACTTTAGGGCATGTTGCCGCACCACTGGCCCCCGAATGTGTGGAGGCAAGCGCCGCGCTCCCAGTCTTCGCAGACTCCTTCCAACCCTGGACCGGCAGCGAGGCGAGGGTAGTTGCAGTGTCCGCACGAACTTCGCTCGAGATCGCACATGTGTCCGGCGTGGCACTCGCATCGTCCAACTGGGTTCGCTGGAGGTTCTGGGTCTTCGTTCACGTCACCGCACCAACGCTGGCCATACCATCGACACGTGGTCTCGAGCCGGTCTTCACACGTTCGGTCGCCGCCAGCCGTCCACATTATGTTGCATGCGCCGCAATACCCGTCGTCCGAGCAAAGCGACCCGCCGACACAGCCGCAAGTGACTGGAGATGGCGTCGGATCGTTTCTGGGTTCCTCTGGGGTGGGCTCGGGGGTTTCAGGGACGAGGAACGACGACACCGCCCCATCCACAGTGCGCACCGGTCCTGCGCTGGTCTTGAGCCTGCACGAGTTCTTGTAGAAGACGAAAATGGTGCATCCGGGAGTGTCGCGGCAGTCATCGCAGCATTCGTCGGCCGTCGCGCGCGTGGTATTGATCAAGTTGTAGCCCGTATACACGACATTGGGCTCCAGCGGACTGCAGACGAGCGAGGGTACTGGAGCATGGGTTTCCTGTAAGGCAATGCACGCCGCCAGGAGCGGAAGCAGCACCAGCTTTAGCATGTTCACCAATGAGGAATGGGAAGGAAGACTCTGCCTTGAGGAGCTTTTCCATATTGTGAGTGGAAGTGTAGCCGCGTAAAGGCGCTGATGGTTCGAGAACTGACGCCATTGGCTGATTCATTTTTATGATGTTTTGATTGGCTAGTGAGGTCGGGTTTTAGCCAATTAAACGTATCGTCATGATTATTTACAGTCGACCCGTATCAACCAGCATCACCATCGTGGTGATGGTGGTTGATGCGAGCCGACGCCAGGTCGTGCAGGCCAAGCCATCCCGTAGAATATGCAAAAGAAAGGCAAGGCCGACGTCGAGTACCTTCCGCGTCGGATACCGGAGCTAGAAAGTGCACTGGCCACCGCCCGGTCTCGTGCTCTCTAGTGGTGGTGGGACTTCCATCCCTTCCATCTCTGCAAAAGGCCATCTCTCCCAGGCGACTGTCGTGTCAAATGAAGGAAGCGTGGATGAATGCAGCCTGTCGACCAAGGTGATTCCTTGTTACTGAACTGTCAGTTGTTAACTTGGGCATACTAACTGACGTCACCTTCCAGCACATCCCACTCGCCCCATCCATTGCGTCACGACGATGCAGTACAGTGGACATTTCTGAGCACTGGCTGAATGCCGTCGAGTACTTTCAGGCGGTGTGGCCGTAACTATTCACTGGACACTGTCGGCAACTGCAACGCTCACCACACCAGCTCCATGGGGGGGATTTCCTCCATATACGTACTGTACGAACGATTACTAAAGTGAGTTGACTTTAGCTCACTTGACCATCACAATGGTAAGATGATGCCGATGTCTCAATTCCCACGGCTTCGCCATGGTAGGGTCGACCGCCGACGAGTGCCGTCCGCTTCATGTCGCTCCGGGGAATGCAGTTGGTCCGGTCGGGCGGAGCCGACGATGCCAATGTCATGTCGGCGATGGTCTGCGCTGACTTGACGAGCGTCCAAGGGAAGGAAGTCGCGTGTGCTCGCCATGTGACGATCGACATGGGAGGGCATGGGAGGGTTGAGAAAAGGCTACATCGCAATGAATTATAGCCAATCAGACAAGTGTATTTTAAAAGAACTGACCAATCAAACGACGTGAGAATACCAAGGTGCGAGAAACGACGAAGGGATGATGGTGACCGCGCACGATGCCAACAAGTCCTGCCGACGGGAGCGCAAGCGTAAGATGATGGTGTCGTATCGCAAGGAGAAGAAGTTGGAGGAATGCGAGTTGAAGATGGCCTACCGACGCTTGGAGATGGAAATCCATGCCTTGCGCGCGTCGACCCATTCGGCAGGAAACGCATCAGCGTTGCCTTGGAAAGACATCGCGCTGGCGTTGGAAGAAGAAGTAAAGCCTTCACACGTCGAGTACCAGTCGTTGAAGGAGAAGGTCAAGGCGACCTCCCGCTTGCTTCGTTGCATGGAGCAGTGGGTGATATGCAATTCCACCATTGCAGTACGTTCACCTTGGGAGATGTAAGCGCTGATTGACGTTGCTTAGGCCTCTCCCAATCCCGTGAGCCCCACATGGCAGCACTGCATGCTCCCAACGAACCTCGCATCACGCCAACTCGGGAAGCTTTGGATCACCCAGCAAATGTACCACAACATCGAGCCCACATTCGCCAAGTACCCATTCAGTCGACATGTAACAGAAGCCTTCTCGGCCACCGTGGAGTTCACAGACGCTGGGAACGAGTACTTGCTGAGCTGGCAGTTTGTCACGACCAAGTCCGACGTCATCGACCGGTGTCGAGATCACATGTGCGACGTGTTGATGACTAATTTATTCTACCCCATTGAATCCACGGTAGAAATATATATATATATATATATATATATATTGCTGACAATCATGGATCGTGTATTAGACGATCCGAGAACCGTATGAAAACACGCTGCTGCACCAAATGATCTCCAAGACGGGGGATCATGTGAATTTGGTGGTTGGGATTTTTCCCAGTCCGACTCGCACGGTGCTCGTGTCGAGGCAGATCTTGCACGACGAAGCGTGGGGAATTGTCCCCAAGCAGCGCAATCGACTCGCCTGGTTTGAGTTTGTCACGACTCCACTGGGATATATCCACATCAGAGCCGTGCTGCAGTGCTCCCACCGCATCACCAACCATGGACCGGTGGACATGCCGGTGGAAGCCAGCATGTGGGGATGCGACCTCAGTGGAGTGCCTCCGCCGCTGTGGGAATCCCGCTTAAGACGCGATGTGCTTGGACTTATGCCCATATCGCTGGCCAAGGTCAAGACCATTCTGGGGGTGTAGCCATTACTACTAGTATTATTAATAGTATACAGTCCTGATGTAAACTATAGACGCACGTGAATTTTTGACATTTCTCAAAACTTATTTCGATTTGAAGCTCACTGATTTGATATGATACTTTATTTAAGTTTCGAAATACATTGTTGGTGACAAAACTTTAAAATTCGAAGTACTATTTTTGAAAATTACAAAAAACCATTTTTCAGGGTGATGCAAACTATAGACGCACTTCAAGTTTAGCAAAAAAAGTACGTTTGATACATGTATTTACCATTCTAGAAGCTTCTAAATGTTAGTAATACAACCATGAAAATGTCAGCGACACCAATTTGAAATACAAGATGCCAAGAGGCAAGCTATTGACCCCACAGCAAGTTGGTGCCGTTCATGCCCTCCACCATGAAGGCAAAAGCAACCGGTACATTGCACGTACCATCGGATGCAGCGAAAAGGCCATTCGGACTTGTCTGGCTCGAGACGCGCAACAAAAGCCACCAAAACGTGTTGGCAGGAAGCCAAAAGTGACCAAGCGAATGCTCCGCCGCATCTTTCGGATGGCTACGATCAAGCAATACTCGTCCAAGCGTATTGCCGATGCTTTAGATAACAAAATAAAGCCATCTACTGTGCGTCAATGGTTGCGTTCAACGAAGCTGGTGAAGTACATCAAGCGTAAACCTCGTCCATCCCTCAAGCCCCACCACAAGAAAGCTCGCGCCAAGTTTGCAGCCGAATGGATGAG